AACTATTTGATATAAGTATAGTTTAGGATCCCATGCAAAAGGTTGCTGTACATGGTGACACTGAATGCGATCATTGCAGCAACCTCTCCTTTTTCAGCACCAGACCTCCATTGCAAGGTGAATGTCTCGATCCCCAAATCACCCTCACTCTCCAAGTACGTTTAGAAGTGTAATTGCATGAACAAATTAATCGAATTAAAGTTCGGGTATAAGTATGATTATCAATGAGATTAACTTGTATGTAGACAACATGTTGAGGGGAAAGTAGAGTTTCTGTGGTGATTTCATGAAGGGTACTAGTATTCATCAACATCGAGCGAGTCATCATTTCCCAAAACGCCATTTGTTATAAAACGTACATAAACCTTAACTTACCCTATACTTTATGCTATTCAAAGTTCTTCCTTTTAATCAATCTTTTGCACATCTTGAGAAGAAACACAGACTCCCCATCTGCTTACAATCGGTTTATGAAGTACCGTTGTTTTCTACGTGTATGTATGTATATACATATTACAAATTTTTATATTGAAAGGGAGGAGATACAATGCATTAAAGCAACAAATCCTAAGATTCCACACAGAGAAGCTTTCAGTGCAGCAGCTAAAAATATATGAACACAAGGTCAAAGTCGATTTTTATTTACGTTATAACATTATTTATTATTATAATTTAAACTTCCGTGTTGAGTAAAAGAATATGTGGTAGAAATAAATTCTTATATATTACAAATTTTAAAAAATAAATAAAATTGATTTGGCTTACTAAAATGGAACAAAAATTTAAGTTTAGGGATGAATTTGAAAGAAAATGATAACCAAAATGAAACCACGTGAATAGTGAAGTGACTAAATATATAATTTATCCTTGTGTTTTTAAGGGAGTTGCTTGAGGTAAATGAGATAACAATTTAAATTTCAGGGACAAAATGTGTAAAAAAAATTAGGGAATAACTAGATACAAAGTACATAATCTAGAAAGTAATAATGCATTTAAACCTTCATTTTAGATAGAAATCACTAATTTTATTTAAAATAGAAAATATCTTAAATTACAATAAAGATTCATAATCGTAAATTAAACACATAACTAGGACAATTTCCTATAAACATTGAAACAAAACTAGCAACTTAATATCACATAAGGACTATACGAGTAAAAATTAAAATCTAACCAAGAAAACTATAATAAAGATATATATAAATATATCTGATAGCATCGGCAAACAAATCACAAAATGGAATCAAGCTACTGAAAGACCACCGACAAACCGTAAATCAGACTCGAGCGACGTAAAAAGCTATCCACGAACGCATAACAGGTATCCAAATCCAATCCGAGGGTCCAAAGCGCCATCTTGATTAATCGTGGCGATGTTTAATCAACCCTTAGAAAAAAAGATAAGTGAACACAACAGTCAAATGACCGAAAAACGTGCCAAAAGGCAGAAGAAAACATGTAATAAAGGTAAATGAAAACATGTCATACATGTAGACTTATTGAAGAAAAAAAACAAAAGAAAATAAAGATTTAATATAAGAAAATAAAAGGATAGTAAAGAATACCAACGGCCGGCAACTAACATTAAAGTTGATGCCGCTGCATATCAATAATGATAAAAAGAAAAAGAGATGAACGACTTACCAATGAGAGAAAACTAGTTTATAAGATATAATTAAGAGATAATTGCATCACATATAAAATGTGATTCATATAAAATGTTCAAGTGAAATAAGATATTAAGATAAAATAAAAATTACAATTTCAATAGGAGTTAATTGCATCACATATCCTCAAAGTATGATTTTTATTTTTAATTAGTCCATAAATTTTTAAAGGTTTCAATTTCATCCATAAACTATGATTATCATTCTAAATTACTCCTCAAACTTTTAAACATTTCAATTCATCCCCAAACTATGATCTTCATTCTAAATTAGTCTCTAAACTTTTTGAAAATTCTAACTTTATCCCAAGCTATATGTATATACTATTCACATCCATTATTAATAAAAGCGCTAGGCAAAGTTATATTATTTTATGTCTGAAAAAAAAACAAAATTTAGGTTAAACTAAGGTTGAAACTAATAACATATTTGGTTGAAATTGGGGATGAAATTAAAAGATTCAAAAGTTTATAGACCAACTTAGAAAGATGGATATAGTTTAGGGATAAAATTATAATATTCAAAAGTTCAAGGACTGATTTAAAATAAGTCATAGTTTACAGATGAAATTAAAATATTCAAAAGTTTAAAAACTCATTTAAAATGAGAGTTGTAGTTTGAGGACATATAATATAATTAACTCTTTGAATAGAGATATTCAAGAGGATCTAAAATCATGAGTTGGTAATAAAACGATAATTATCATTCTTTTAAAAAAAATTAAATTTTTATATAATTAAACTTTTTAATATTTTATATTGATAATTTATTTTTTTCTTCATATAATATTTTATAAGTAGACCTCGCAAATTTGACTCGTACCCCATAAACCCATTTATCTGATCAGAGATCCGATCCGATATAGATCTGAATATAATGACCCAAGATTGACTCGAAACCCGAAATAATTTCAATCAAACCGAAACCGACCCGTATTTTAGTTGAATTGAAAGCAACCTGAACCTAAAGCAATCCAAACCAGAAACAACCGGATTTGAAAGCAACCTGAATTTAATTTACCCATATCTTATCTGAATCGAACTTCAACCCGATTTTAACCAAATAATTGAGTCTAAGTAAATAAATAATTTATTATTATTATTATTATTATTATTATCTATTTTTAATAATTTGATAAATAGTAAATGCATATTTATTCTCATTTTATATTATACTACTAGCTAATCATTAGTCTATCTCCTTTAATAATAGCTAGATGGTTCAATATAACATTTCCTCATTTAAAAGATCATCTCTATATATGATCCAATAAATTTTAAATGATTTATATCAATATTCATTCAAAAATAATTATTATATTATTTTTTAAAATTCAATAAATATTATATTTACAATTAGACATCAATCGTCTAATTAAAAATTTAATTGAGAATAAAATTTATAATTTATAATTTAATTCTTCACCAAATAGGTTGCACCACAAACTTTTCAAGTTAGATAAATATGAAATTCAAGTTAGATAAATATGAAATTCAAGTATACAAATCTAATGTCTTATAATCTCGGGTCAAATTATCATCCATAAATGATAGTGTAATTTGAAGCATTAAATGTTTGAAAGTTAAACTTGAACCTAAATGATAAGATTGGCAAATAAAAATATGTTTTTCCTTATAAGAATATATCAATAATTTTATATATAATTAGATTGGACTCATACATAACTCAATCCGACCCGAACCTGACCTGAATGACCCATTTGCCACCTCTATTTATAAGTATGCTCCATTCAAAGTTAGATATGAAAAAGTTTACCTGTACCCCGATTACCCTAACCGATTTACCCGATCAGAGACCTGATATAGACCCAAATATGATGACTCAAAATTGATTTGAAACCCGAAATAAACTGAATCGAAACGAAACCGACCCGAATTATAGTTGAACCAAAAACAACCCAAACCGAAAGTAACCTGAATCAAAAACAACCCAAATCGAAAACAACCCGAATTTAATTTACCCATATCTTATCCGAACTGAATTTTGACCCGATTTTAACCTAATAATCGAGTCTAAGTAAATGAATTGAATAATTTATTATTATTATTATTATTATTATTATATTTTTAATAATTTTATAAATAGTAAAATGATGCATATTTTATTCTTATACCATTAGTCTATCACCTTTAGTAATATTTGAATGGTTCAATATAATATTTCCTCATTTAAAAGATCCTCCTTGTATCAAATCCAATAATTTTTAAATTATTTAAAAAATACTTATATAAATATTCCTTCAAATATAATTATTATATTATTTTTTAAAATCCAATAAATATTATATTTATAATTAAACAACAAACATCTAATTAAAAATTTTAATTGAGAAGAAAATTTATAATTCAAAATTTAATTATTCACCAAATAGGTTACACCACAAACTTTTAATAAGGTTAGATCAATATGAAATTCAAGTCTTAAAATCTTCTCTGTCTTATAAGTTCGGGTCAAATTATCATCCATAAATGATAGTGTTATTTGAAACATTGTAGGTTTAAAGTTGAACTTGAACCTAAATGATAAGTTTGACACGCAAAAATATATTTTTTCTTATAAGAATATATCAATAAGTTTATATATACTCGATTGAACTTATACTTAACTCAACCTAAATTGACTCGAAAATTTAAATATTGACCCATCCCAAAAATCGATCGATCCGATATTAACCAAACCCGAAATCAACCAATATGATATTAACCCGACCCGAAAATCAACTGTTCTATATTGATCTAACCCGAAAACCAACTGATCCGATATTAACCAAACCCAACTTACCATTGACCAAAATTAAAATCAAATCCAAAATGACCCGACTCGACCCGATCCAAATAACATGCTTGCCAACTCTATTCAAATCCCAATCTACAGTATTAGTTAAGTTTAACTCGGTTCCCTATCTTCAACTACGCTTGGAACGTATTCAATTGTCATCAAAGATACGACACCAATCCTATTACCTCCGAAATATTGTACCATTTCAATAACAAAATATATCCTTCATACCATGAACCGAGTTCATTGTTAAGTAATAATATTATTTTAATTAGACAAAATTAACAAACAAAACCGAATTAATCGACAAAATTATAAGATTAGATAATTTAAAACGTACATTGATCAAGTAAAATAATATTAATAGAAATAAAAACTGAAAAATAAAAAGAGGGAGGAGAGCTCAGATTCTATGGGTGTAATAAGAAATCTGTCATGCCCAATTTGAGCAAATATCAGAACGAGGAATTATTTTAATAATCATCGCCATCTCCATATTCCCTCAGCTTTAGCAGATTTAACACACACACACAAAAGGCTCAGACACGCACAAACGGTGTCATCAGAGAGCTCTTTGGTTCTGAAATTAAAAATTTAAGAGATAGAAAATCGATTCAGAATCGAGAAACGCAAATCTGTCATCAATGCCATAACTTCAACAAAACCTACCCAATAAACCAAATTTCTAAAAATTTCCAAAGTAAAGGAGAGGAGAGAAGAGAATATCACAAGGAAGAGATGCAGCCGAGAATTGAAGAGTTGATTTGCATTTTATAAGCGTGAAACCCTAAATCTAAGTGTTTTCTGGGTTTTGGAAAAAGCCAAGGCCCAATAAATATTCTAGCCTGATTGACAACCAATCCAGCTTTGTTACAGTAATTGTAGTTTCCCCACCTTAAACAATGGCATAATGAAAACAAAGCCCTCAATATTTGTCAATTTATTCAATTATACCTTTAATGGTTTTTTATTTTCTAAAAGATAAATCCTAAAGTTTCAATTCTTTTCTATAAGATCTTTCTAAATAGTCAATTAAAGGTAAACATTTTATAAACATGATATAATAACATTGAGGGCAGAAAAAAGCAAATGTTGAGGGTTATTTTATTGTTATATCTTAATTATTTAAAATGAAAGTTTACAAATGATCATTAAATTATTTAAAACTGATATTTTGAAAATTGAACTTTCAAAAGTTATAAAGTGGACATCAAATATTTGATTATGTCATAAAATAAGTACGACGTCATTAGTTATCGTTCACCATTGTTAATAGATGATTTGGTATATTAAATTAATAGGTAATATTTCCTTTGAACCTCAACTTAACTTGTAATACCCCAAAAATTTGATTAGCGATTGAAGTATAAATTTTGAAAGTTTGGGGACTAAAGTATAAAGTTGTAAAAGTATAGTGACTAACAATGTAAATTTTCAAAAGTTATATTTTAGATTTGTAAATTAGTAATTCATCCCAAGACAATTATTTTTAGTGAGTTTCATATTTTTTATCCGGAGTTTGCATAAAAGTCTATTAAATGATAAAGTTCGATATATTATTCGGATAACCGGCTCGAATTGGAAGTTTCTAAAAAATTGCAGGAAGGTAGATTTGGATTGTAAAAATTATATGGTTATTTTTTAGATTAGGAATGTTGTAGGGTTATAATTAAGCATGAAAGTTGAATAAAAATTGTTGGAGGTATTGATCTAGTGATTTGGACATTGATGGATATGTGAGGAACTTGGTTGAATTTGATTTGTTTTTCTTTGAATTTGATTTAGAATGATTAGAATTGATTGGAAATGAGTTTTACTTGATGAATCAAGCTTTAAACATGTTGGGAGAGTATTAGGAGCCTAATTTTCATGACTTAAGATATTAAAGCATAATTATGTAATTGTTGGAAGTTATTGTATTGTGCTGAAGGTGAGTGTGTTGATGATATTAGGATCTTCAATTGATTCATTTGTGTTCATTTGATAAGCTAATAAAAGTGAGTGAATAAGTTAAAAATGTAAATTAGTGAAATCGTTTAAATTGATAATTTGGGTAGTAAGTTTAGAAAATCACTATAAATTATACAAGAATTAATAAAAGATGATTTTTATACCTTTGGATTTGTAAATAAGTCTAATTTTTTTTAAAACAATCATATACTAATTTAGAGTTGTATACAAAAAGATATAAATTTTTAATCGGTGATAGGTCAGAAACTTGGGTAGCAGATTCTGCTCCAAACAAATTCTGTAACCTAGATTGAAAATTTTGCCATAAAATTTACAAGTTGGATTAGAAGATGTTCCTTATATGGTTAGATTATTATTAGAGCATAGTTTTTAATGGTACAAACATAATAAATTTTAAGTGTATATATTAATACAAAAAAATACTTCTTTGAGGGTAATACAAATTGTCAGTATTTGAAATGGGGTTAAATTATGCATTTTGTGATATTTTTATGTTATATACTATTTTAATTGGTCGAAATGAGTCAACTCTATTATCTATCTTAGCATGAAAACTATGACATTTATCATATGACACAATTATGATAATTTCATGGAAATCTTGCTTAGAGGATGAATTTATGTTTGAATCAAATAGAAACTATGTTATGAAAACTTAAAAGTATTTAGCCAAAGGTAAGAAATAAGGAAAAATTGTGGTAAAATTTTACAAGGTTTAGAAATTATGAATGAGTGATTCTATATGATTAGAATATGACTTGGGCCAATTTGGAAAATGGTGAAAGTATAGGGATCTAATCGCATAAATTGAGAAAAATGAGGATTAACATGTAATTATTTAATAATTGAAGTATTAGGATGAGATTAAAAGTTGGAGTGCTAAATTTGATGTCTAGGTGGTGAATTGGAATATTTGTGAATTTAGGATTAAATGACAAGAATGACTATATTAAACAAAATAGAAATGTTGAATTGAAAATTTAACAGAATTTAACTTCTGGTTGAAATTATGATATTATGGGTTTAGAATCAAATTTGGAAGAATATATAAGCTAAAGAACTAAATTATAAATAGGGATTAAAGTAGAAATTGAGTATGAGATAATGTGTAATGTCTAAATAATTATTAGAAGGACTTGAATAGTTAAATTGAGATTTGGTTTAATGTGAAAAGTTGTATAAGATAGAGATCAAATTCGTAAGTTTTAGGAAAGTTTGTGGTAAAAAGACAATTGGATAAAGTTAATGTATTACTTTTAATATAATGTGAAAATAATTGATATGGATTTAAATTGAATATTAAGGAACTAATTTGCATATATACTAAATATTGGATTTATAATTGAAAGAAAAGTTTATCAGTATTAAATGTAAAATGTTGAAAAGTCAAGTGAATGATTGGAAAAAATAATGTTAGTATAGATTTTGTAAAATAAATTAGTATCAAATATCCGTTAATAATATTTTTAAAACATTTATATAAACATGAATTGTTAAGTTAACTAAAATATTAATATATATTAAAATAATGTATGAAGCTGATAATTATTCTTTAAATGTTTTATATTAATAAATATATAAGACATAAATAAAAGCTCAGTGTATAAGACATAAGAGTCAATGATGCAAAATGTAGAGTGAACAAGTACAACTCACTCATATGACTTATATACCTTTGTGGTGCGTGGGATGAAGTGATAATTGAATACAATATAGATCACTCATATGACTCATGTACCTTTGTGGTGCATGGGGTGGAGTGATAGTTGAATACAATACAAATCACTCATATGACTTATGTATCTTTGTGGTGCATGAAGTGGAGTGATAATTGAATACTGCAACTATCACTCAATGAGACTCGAGTATCATACATTCTCATGATTATGTATTGGGCTATAAAATTAAATTAAAGTAATAGTACAATACACGATATATTATGTGAAACAATACAACATCAGATACAAAACAATAAAAGATACAATAAGAGAAATAGTGTAATAAAAAGAAATGATATAGTAAAGAAATCAGTATAGAAAATGGAATAGTGCAGTGAAAGGAACAATAGAGGAAAAAGAATAATATATTGAAAGGATTGATACAAGAAAAAGAGTAAGTATATGATGTGGAACGGTACAAGTTTAATTATATGATATGGAACGGTTCAAGTTTAATTATTACATTTTACAGTAAAATGTTATAAACATAGTGTAAATTACATTGAATGGTTATAGACTATGAATTATATTGGGTTGAATTTACATACGAATGATATGTATATCTGTGTAATGAAGATAATATAATAAAAGTTGTTGTCAGTGGGAGATCATGTGGCGGTAGACAACAACCAAAGAAACATGTTTTAGAATAAATCTGATTATAGATGTTACAAATATTTTATGTATAGTGTTGTAAAAAGAAAATTCTAAAAGTTGTGCTTAAACGAGAAATGATATAGTATAAGAATTGTAATAAAGAAAGGAGAAAATATAATAATAATATATTAAATGGTAGTAAAATATTGTATTATAAAGATTAATCGGTTAAGTTTTAAATTAGATAGTTTAGATTATGATATGAAATAATATTAAATTTCCTAGATACTATGCGAGAACAAATGTAAAATGGAAATTAAAATATTACATTATGATTTTATATGGTTAAATAGTATGAGTCTAAATGATTAAATTTGGAAATTTTAAAGAAACAAAATTTTTACTGTTTTCAAATAGTAAATGTTATATGAAAAGCGTAGCATTCTTAACTTGTATTCGGGTACGAATGCGGGTTAAGGGTGTTACATAACTAACATTTTTTCACTTTTCTAGTATTCTAAGTAATAATTTCAATAAAACAATATATATATATATATATATATATATATATATATATGAAAATTCATAATTTATTTTAAAGTTTTTAATTTTGTTGAATTTTTCTTGTAAATCATGCAAATTTACTAAAATCCTTAATATTTTTTTACTTAGACTTTCATCATCCATCTAACCTATAATAAAGTTTAATGATTAATATTTTTTTAATTTTTAATAATTTAATTTTAATTATTTTGATTCAAAAATTTGGGTTTTTAGTAGTTTTTTCTTCTTCTCTTTTCCCTTGGTCACCACTGATCTCTTTTTTTCTTCATATTTGTGACCGACAATTACACTAACCTTGATGTTGATCACCGATCATCGATACTCATTGCTTTTGTTTTATTTTATTATAGTGTATCTTTGCTTTTTTCCTTGTTTTTAAATTTTTAATAACTCTACCTTTATGGCATATTTTCAGTCATTTGTTTTTTTTTTGTTTATCTTTTTTCTTAGGGTTGGATTTGACATCTTCACGATTGATCAAGATGTTGTTTATTTGTTATCATGCTGATTTTCTCTACTTTAGACTCTCGAATTGGATTTGAATACACGATTTGCGTTTGTTAATACTTTTTTCACGTCGCTCGACTCTGATTTATAATTTCTTGATGGTCTTTCGATAGCTTAGTCATCTTTTGTGATTCGTTTGTCAATACGGTCAGATATATTCGTATTTAACTTTTATTCGATTTTATTTAGTTAATTTTTTTTAAATATTTTTCTTATATAGTCATTGTGTGGTCACTGTGTGATCTTAAGTGGCTTATTCACACATATCCTTATTATGTTTTATTGAGATAATA